GATTAGATGTGCAATAGATGAACTGGAGTTTTTGAGCTGTCAGTAACACTAGTCTAGACTAGACTAAGAAGAACTCCACCAAGGTGGTTATTGGACTACAAGCTAGTGCTAGGTTTTAATAAATCTTTTAGTTGTTTTGTGTATTTGTGTGTCCCATAGACAGAATTATGTATTTGTGTTGCTTTAAATAACAACATAGGTTTAGTCCTTTTAAATTAACAAGACTGGACAATCTCTTGTCTGTGCATCACTGGACAATCACGAGAGCCCAGGTTTATTGTTACTACAAATTGCGTTACAATAATTTCACATTTTCTTTGGGCAGTGCAGTATTGAATCATTCCCATCAAGTTAGCTTATGTTGCCCTGAATGTAGTTATTGCATCCAACTGTGCTCTCTGTCTTCCCAACATGCTCTCAGCCTGCATTCAAGCCCAAAGCTCTGCACTGTTGATGTGACTGGGCAAATTAGTGTTACTCCAACTAATGTATTCAAACTGCTGCCGAGTGGCTGCAGAGGACATTGAGCGGTATTAGAAATGATCGCTTTGACTGTGAGCGACGCTAACCACTCGTGAAAAGGTGACAGCACATTTGGCTGCTATTTGCTAGGGGAAAGAAAAAATACCTCCAAGTTTAACTTTGTGGTATTTTAGATATTTAATTCATACAGGATGTGGAAAATGTGTTTGGTCTATTCACATCTTAAAAGAGTCATTCTGACGAGAGAAACATGCTACAGAGTTCATCTCATGCCATTGCCCCTTGAACACTTTAATGATTTTGTACTTTCTCAGTGCCAGCCTACTCACTGACAAACTATTCTTTCATAAAAATCTCTGGATGGCCCAGCTCTGTACCACTCCTGTTGAGCGCTTGCACACACAAATATTAAATATTTGTGGTGACTCCTGGATGTGACTTAAGCAGACAACATCTGACAGGCCTGAAATGAAGCCAGGGCAGATATGAAAACAGGCACTGTCTGTCAAAATCAGGAAATAACCCCCACATTCACCTCAAGGGCCCAGCTGAAAATCATTAGTTTAAAACAATGTGCTGCTTCTACTGTTAGTCTGTTGGCTAAGCTACTGTTAGCTTTCAATTTGCCATTTTCTTTTACAAAAATTGTCCAGCTAAAACTAGTTTTCATATCAAAACAAATATACAGTATGATTCACTAAAAGCACGGAAAACATGACACATCTATTAATCTGCAATATTACATGATCATTTATTTAAAAAAATACACAAAGGCAAAAATATTTACAACTGAATACACACTGAACAGAAGAAAAATGGTATTAGTGGTTGTGTTTGATAAATTTTGTAATTCCTAGAGAACTCTAGTGTGTCTGCCCAGATTTGGTTCTAAAAATGAATTCAGTTTATTATTTTTAATAAGGATTTTAACAAAGAGAGGAAGTCTAAAAAAACATTTAAGGACTGTAAATGTCTTGCAGTTTGCAAGCAGATTACAGTCAGTCCAGCCAGACATTGATCTGTGGTGATATTCAGAAATAAATAACTATGATCGAGATTTGGAGAGCTTATCTGATTCTGCCTCCTTCCATTGAAACTGTTTGTCAAGAAACTACACAGAGGAGCCCTTCCTACACAGAAAAAACAACTAGCATCTATAAAATAGGATCATTTGAGGGAACTCTCGAAAGTCTGCAACAATACAACACAACAGAAAAAATGAGTATATTACACTAATTTCCATGTTAACAATGTTGACATCAGCACAAATGATCTATGAAACCAATGCAGATGTCATTATTGGGGACCAATGCTAACATCAGCATGAAATATCCAAGTTTTAGTATTACCCTTGCCCTTCGGGGGGGATTGCAATCTTTGGGTGTGCTTGTTTTTTTCCTTTTTTAAAATTAATATCTATTATTATTTTTCCCCAAAAAACGACTAAACTGTCTCCACATCAGCTCTATAAACATGGCAACATATGCTGTAAGAGTCT